CCTTTCCCGCCACCTCTGAGGGCCTTGGCCGTGGGCCCGGGGCGCTGTTTGCTCAGGGCCTGCTGGCTCCAGGGGGCAGAGACTCTCGCGAGGCGGACCACGCTGGACGCCCGTTTTCCTCCCTTTCGGGAGTTTTTCTCATACCGGCCGGTTGCACGTGCCGTTCTCACTCTTCCTTCTGCTGGGCCCGTGCTGGTGCCGTAAGGAGGTAGACCTCCCGGGAGCAGCACACGCCCGGGAAGACCGGACGCGAGAACTGACGGCCACCCTTTCTGTCTTGTATGTCACCAGCCCGGAGCGAGGATGCCAGGTCGCCCCCGTCGCAGAGACGCAGGGAGGACCCCATGGAGGCTGCAGGTGGGTGCCTGGCCCGCAGCCATCCGAGGCTAACGCACCGGTGACGCTTCCCGTGGGATGGTACCCGGCAGGGCTCAGTGAGCAGAGACATAAAAAATTATATATATATTTTATTGATTCCAGAGAGGTAGAAACGTCAGTGATGAGAGGGAATCATTGATCGGCTGCCTCCTGCACTTTGGACTGAGCCCGCAACGCATGCATGTGCCCTTGACGGAATCGAACCTGGGACCCTTCGGTCTGCGGGCCGAGGCTCTATCCACTGAGCCACACCGGCCAGGGCGGAGCGTGGTGCTTTTTATAGGACATTCAGTAGATGTCGGAATCTTCACCAGGAGAGGTTGCAATAAGCAACCAGTGTGCTTTTGCATTTAGATGGCTTAGAGCAGTGGTTCTCAACCTTCCTAATGCCGCGACCCTTTAATACAGTTCCTCATGTTGTGGTGACCCCCAATGTCATTGTTACAAATTGAACATAGAGTCCCTGGTGGTCTAGTGGCTAGGATTCGGCGCTTTCAAATTGAACATAATTAAAGCATAGTGATTAATCACAAAAACAATATGTAATTATATATGTGTTTTCCGATGGTCTTAAGCAGGGGTCCTCAAACTTTTTAAACAGGGGGCCAGTTCACTGTCCCTCAGACCGTTGGAGGGCCGGACTATAGTTTAAAAAAAAACTATGAACAAATTCCTATGCACACTGCAC